CTGATAATCCAAAACTCCGTAAGTTTCACAACTCGGGAATCCATCTCTAGTGGACCCCTAATAAAAATTCCAAACTGAATGAAAGTAAAAACTAAAGATAAAATCCAAATCTAATATCTGGAAAGAAGTCCTACGTCGTCGGTAGAATGGAAGATCGTCTCTGCTCAGCATGAACAAGCTCTAGACTGGAAATGTTCGATACCTGAAAAATGATGAGTGGGTAAGGCCCACATGCAAGTTCTATACTATTACTACCAAAGTAGAGACCCGATACGCATGTACATCCTAACCAATCCAACAATAGCTAATAGTCTGTAAATAAATATATATATAATCACACTACAGGACTCTCACTGGACTACAGGCCCGTCTTAACCTGACTAGTAGGCACCATGCGAAAACGCACCCAAAGGTGGGCATAACTACCTAGTCCTAGCAGGGTACACATCAAACCATCATAGCTAGCTATGCATCCCAATGCATATACGCTTCCTAACCAACAACTCTGAGACTCAGGCTCATATCGTGGCATCATAAAAATATATTTAAATTCCATTCCAAACCAAAGTGCCACTCAATTATTTATTGATCTGATACAAAATATAGGTAAGACTTAACCTTTGTAGTTAATCCGTCCCTTAATCCAGAATAGGTAGGACTTAGCATTTTTGAGCTAATCCCCCTAGTATGACACCGTCCTATACCGGTGCATACAAACCATCCATCCAGTATTGATAATATATATATGATAACATAACATATCAATATCAACATATCCAATCATAAGTATAACAAGAATGTTTAATTAGCATGCTTGTTCAATACATCCAGTACCTGATTCTCTGACAAATTTTTAAATGCAGAGAAGAAATATAACCATCCTGTAACTCATAATAGGCATAATAATAATAATAATAGTATATACATGCTTACTTGTAATTACTCCACAACATCCCACAAGTTGACATAAACAAATTCTTGGTAACATCAACTAGTTTCATATTAAGTATTAACTGAATTTATATTAGTTAATAGGCTTAATCCCATACCACTGATATATGATTTACATATCAAACTCCTAATTCAATTGCTAATTTAAAATTAATCAACTTGAATCATCTACAGAATTTCAACCATGTAAACTTCCTTAAAAGTATCTTGCTGACACTTATAAATATATATAATCATTCCATAATCTAATAAACTTAAATTAAATTACAGGAACGTGATTTAACAATATTACCATTCCTAGATAAATTGCAACTCATAGGGTTATGCACTTAAAATCCTCTGCCTCCAAAAACAGTCCACAAGTTTACCTGAAACTATAACGGTTTAAATCTACCGATTTCTTTGTAATTTATTATGTATCATCACACCCTCAAGATTTCTAATAGGACTTAGATGCTACTGTAACATCCCTGCATAGCTCCTAATAGCATCTGAAAACACCAAATTCTGAAACCCGTAGCCAAAACCATCACTGAAAAGGCGAAAAAACTGAAACCTGTTGAAGGAACCGGCTCCACACAAAGTGGAGCCGCCTCCATTCTATGATAGAGCCGGCTCCGTCATGATGGAGCCACCTCTAACTTCCTAAAGAGCCGGCTCCATCCTTAGATTGAGCCTGCTCAATCTTTTAATAGAGCCTGCTCTATTCCTCCTTCCCCTATGCGTCTTCTTCTCCAGTTCCGGCGGTGTCCGGCATCTGTATTCCTCCAACTAAGTTCATTACTGATTAAAACTAAGTCTTAGGGAGTTCCAAAGTTAATTAAATTCATAACTTATTAACCAAATCATATGGAACAAGAATTACACAAAACAGCTTCTAAGTGGATTAAAATCCATACAAGAATACATACTGTTTCAGGTATCTAGTCCTGCGTCCCAGATTAATTTTAAGATTTCCCACTATGTTTTAGAACTATTAAAATTCTTAATCCATCAATTGACATCATTAAAATCATGAATTAAGGAAAACAAAACAGTAAAACAAACAACACTACAAAACAAACAATTTAACAGTTCATAAACATATGTTTATTAAACAATGCAAGCATGCGAACCAGATTTGTTTTAATCCTTATTTCATCCTGAGATTGTGTTAGGGATGCAAAGAACACAGGTCAAAGAGGTAGAGATAGTTATAAAACTTGCCTGCGAGACTCGGTTCAGAAATCTTAACGTCTTTCTTCTAAGTTTTCCCGGCGCCCCTTTAGTTTTCCTCCTCTCTGTTTCTTCTGTCTCCACAACGTGGTTAGGGTTCTAAACCCTTGACAGCCTTATACAGATATATTTATAGGTTTATAAGTTTACACAAAACCTTAGTTTAATTTAAACCCTGCACTAAATCCTTAGTCGGCCCATATGAAACCTAATTAATGCTTAGTTATGTCGGCTACATACGTGACGTCTAAAACCAAAACCCTTAATTAATCCTACTAACATAAAACTCTATTTATAGAAAATTCATTTATACTAAATTAAATCATTTGACAATTAATTCAATTTCAAGAAAAATAATTAATTCTATTTAAAGTAGACAATTACATCCAATAATTAAAACCCAATTAAATAAACAATTAAATAAAAAAATCAAACAAAAACAAGTCATTTAAATAATTCACAATTAAATCAATAAAACACAATTTAAATAATTAAATAAATTCCATAATTATCCTTGTTATATTAGGGGTATTACAATTTCCACAAGCCTTATTAGAATGGATTATATAATCATTAAATATATGTGTGTGCGGATTTCATAAAAAAATAAATTATCAATTATATATTTTTATTTTTATTTATGCAACTTTAGAGGTAAATCATGAGTTCCTAAATCTTAAGCTCTGATACCACATGTAAACTATAATTATTCATGTCAAACATTAATCACATGATTTACATGAATCCCATATCTTAAAAAGTCATGATTTTTACATATCTATAATGCATAAATAAATAGTTAGATATGAATACATCGATCAGTAATTGTAAATCTCGTAGGGATCAAGGCAAACGTCGAGATCCTTTTTGCGGAATGAACAACATGCTAAACTGCAATAACTAACGTGTGGAAACCGATTTTTCTCTCTTGGCCTTTTGCACACATAAATATTATACGTGTTGTTTTCATTAGCGTACATAATTGATGTGATATATGCACTTTTATAAAGGCAGAGAGAGGACCAATTTTCCTTTTTAGTATCCTTAATTCCACTTTCCATCAAAGTAAGAAATAAATAGGAAAACACTTCTCCAACAGTTAATTACCATAAAGGTAATTTATAAATTGACCAAATAATATAAGTTTAATCCGATATCTATTTACTTGATCACTAATTAATGAAATATATCACAAGTCCAAATCACGTGGGCCACACAATCAAATAAATAATCTTACAGTGTTATCATAATGTTACATTTAGATGAATGGAGAAATGAAATCTAAACATTATTACATTTACTTTTCAATGCGTTAACGGCCCGTAGATGTGCGGTTCAAACTCTTCTGTTAAATGTATTTTTGCAAGTTGGATATAAATCGATTCAATTTAAATGATATTTAGTCCCCACCATCAAATAAATTGGAATTGGTGATGCAATGTCTTGCATGGGCATGGCCTTAAAATTATGATACATATATTTATTGATCACCGAAGATAGGGCATGGAGAGAAGTCAAGGTCCAAAAGCAAAATGGTTGATGGGCCAGCAGGTAAGAAAGCCTCATTTAGTGTCTCTCATTTCCCTTTAGGCAAGGTTATATGTACCCTTGTTTCGGGTTTACTACAAGTCTTGATTCTCCAAAATTTCTTGAAAAATAACATTTGAGTCCCTTTGTAAGACATAAAACATTAATGGAAAGCATTTAATCTATCCTTATATTTTAGTTGGAATCGTTATCACTTAAAACATAAAACATATCTAAGTGGATAAAAGTGATTCTATTTAGTGTTCTAAGTCTTACTCATCAAATAGAGTGGTGTTGTTCGAATTTCTTGTGGTTTTGTTGTATTGTATTAGCTGCAGGTCTTAGAGCATGGACAAACTTAAGGGAACTTGCCAAATCGATCGAAGCTAGAAAAAAATCATCAAATTTGTAACAAAGAGAATATATTAAAAATAAAATCAATTATGAATTGTTTTAACTCTATCTTTTTGTGCAAAATTATGGATGTCATAGATTTTGGATAAAACCAATTCAGATAGTATTTTAATTCTTACTCATCAAATAGAGTAGTAGTGTTCAAATTTCTTTTGATTTTGTTATTTTGCATTAGTGGAAGGTCTTGGAACATGGACAAATTTGAGGGAACTTACCACCAAAATAAATCGAAATGAGAAGCCGGCGAGGCTTGATCTCGAACGTGCCGTTCTTTTTCTTCTTCAGAAAATTCGGAGTTTTTGTTGAGTTAGAGCTTCTTCTGTTCGTTGTCTATTTTCTTTTCCGTGAATGTATAGAGTGACCTTGTATTTATAGGCCAAAAGATGCTCTACAACAGTTCTGGCTTTTACCAGCCCTCAAAAGCGCGGATAAAAGTCTAAAAAAGCACTGGTAATTCAATTATTAGCGTTTTACTAGCGCTTTTTCAAAAGCGCTGGTAAATCTAATGTCGGTAGGCCTTTACCAGCGCTTTTCCGAAAGCGCTGGTAAAGTCCTTTTACCAACGCTTTTCCAGAAAGCGCTGGCATAGAGTATTTACCAGCGCTTTCTGGAAAAGCACTGGTAACTTTATGTAACTTTACCAGCGCTTTCTACAGAAGCGCTGGTAGAGTGTATTTACTAGCGCTTTTTGCTAAAGCGCTGGTAAAGGATAATTTTAATTTTTTTTTCCTCCCCCCTATGCCAGCGCTTCTTAAAAGAGCACTGGTAAAGGGGTGTTATATATATATATATATATATATATATATATATATATATTAATAGTTTTTGGAAAATAATTTATATATATATATATATTTTTATCAGTACAACTATTGCAACTACCAACTATTAAATGTCATCAAATATAACACAAGTTAATATAAAAATACCATCCAAATTGTTTTTACATAATACAACCACAAAGTTAACCATGCCAATATGAAAATTACCATCAAAATTGGCTACTAATACAACCACAAGTTAAGCTGATAAATGTCAACCAAAAAGCAAAAATGTATACTAATACGACCACAAGTTAACCTGCCAAAAAGAACCCATCCAAGGCGAAGGAAATTCAGAAAGCACAGCCACGACCCCATCTTCAACTTCAACAAGTCTTGTTGCCCATTTGATTTGAATTACCCTACATTTTTTATAAATTCATTACGCATACATTATAATAAATGAAAATTTAACATATATATAAGAGAAATTAAAAGTTCATAACTTTAACTGAATTGGCATCACGAATATAAAATGAATTTGGGGATACTCTAAGAGGAGCATTTAAAGAATCAGAACCCTTCAAAATAAGAAAACAAAATACATGAAATCTTGGCATAAGTAAACATATATTTAGTAAAGAGTAAAACTAATAATAAATATACCTGTCCACTACAATTTTGTTGTTGCATCTGCATTAACATAGCCACCTGTTGTTGTAAATTTTCCAATTTGTTATCATAGATGGCTCGTAAATTTTCCAACTTCTTATCATACTCGGCTTGCATTTTTGGAATGCTCTCCTGCAATTCTACGCGTGTAGCATGTGCCTCCTCATTAGATTTTTTCGCATTATTAATTAGTTCAACTTTACTAGGAGAGGGCCCTCAAACATTGCTTGATGTAGGCCCGAAGCCAAGCATCCGCACACGACCAGTTCTCTCTTCTCCTCTCACAATGGAGAACAAATCATTGGAACTGCCAATAGGCGAGTCAGAGTAACTTTTTTGAAGTTCTTTTATGTTTTCCTGCCAAAAAAAAAAAAGTTTGAACTACCATGACATACTGCTATGAAACATCCAGACAAATCTAATGAAATGAATAATAGAACAAGAATCCAGAAACAGCTGAACAGAAAAGTAATTAGATAACAAATTGGTAATGATAAAAGCCAAAATATTCACACCCATTTCATTTACAGACAAAATGCTAGAAATTAAAGGAATGCTAAAAATTGTGCGCAATATACTGACATTTCAGAACTTAAATAATAGTACTTAGCTTCAACCTGAAGTCTGAGGCCCATTTATTTATTTGTGTGTGTGTGTGTGTCTGAGGACCATTTTACTTACAAATTCAGGATACTTGTTAATTGGTAATACGAGTACTTGGCAAAGATGATGCACATAAAGTGATTTCCAAAGCTCCATTCACTACAAACCTACTACTACATTCATGTAACTTGCTTTTCTAACAATTCTTAAAAATAAAAAAATCAGTTCCAAACAAGTTAAAAATAAGTTTTATATATGATTATTTTTTAGTGGCAAACCAAGTAAGACTGTATTAGTTAATGACAGATTAGTTTGTCGTCATTTAATTAAGGCAACAATTTAACTTTTTATTGAAACACAGACAAGACACAAGACAACTGGTGTAAAACCACCAAAAAGAAAATATCATGACATGAAAGGTGAAGAATCAGGCATGAATATTAATGTAAACTTCTAAATTGAAAAACTTTTAAGTTAAGAAATTACACTACTTAAATCTAACTGTGTTAGTTGTAGATTTACCGGAGCAATGGTCAGAAGCCAATTTTATAGGCGGAACTTAAGGATTGCAACTTAACATAACAAACAAGAGTAGGGTATAATAGTCAAAAGTATCTTAATTAGAAATAAGAAAAAATTTCAGATCATGATAGCAAGCAATGTAAGTGATAGCAACGTAAGAGATAGACGGGATTAACAAGCTTGATTTCCTCTCCAGTTTCTGGTTGGAGCAGGTCTTGATTCATTTCTGGTATGACTTTGGGGGAAACCAATGATCAGAAATAAAAATCATGGGATATACCTTCTGTGGAGGTCCCAATGAAATCCAAAGACTCATATAAAAAACACTTTATTGATTCATAGTTGCAGTTTTCTGTAAATATAGTGCAATTGTCAAATAGTGGGTCGGGGTTAAAACTTTAATGCTTTATAATCTGATTAGTACTTCAAGGAAAAAAAAGGGGGATTCATTCACTAGACAGAATTTTGTCGCCTGGTTGTTTGCTAAACGCTCGTGACAAAATGTTTTACACTATAAAAATATGTTTGTTGCTAGAAGTCTAGTAAAAAAATGTGATAAATACTTTTACATTCCAATGACCTCCTAAAAATTGTTTGTTTCATAAGTTAGGCCTCTTAACTGTCTTTGTTACTCCCCCTTGTGTATATTCATCACTAGAGTTTTTCTATTTTGATTTTTTCTTTTTCTCTTTTTTGCATGCATCTCTCTAAAGTTCTGCTTTTCTTTTTCTTTTTAAATTGCATTTTCTTAACCCATATATATCTATGCAAGTACTCTTAGAACCTCCTAGGATCTTTACCCTCAAAAATATTTTTGTGTGTGCATTCATGTATTAATAAACTGATTTTTGTCATTAACATGGTATAAGTATCTAAAAATTACAATCATGCATAAATATGGATAAATATGGACATGTAAGGTGCCTATCACATTTTCATTTATTATTAAATCTAGGATTCCATTAATCTAGTTTGTGAGACCACATGGATGTCATTACAAAGGACGATCACATTTAACTCATCATTACACACTTAAATTGACCTAGCACACTAAAACTCGTTGTTAGATGACTACTTAATGTCTTTTAGGCCCTATTACAAGTTTTCGCATAAAAAGTCTTATTTACCCAATGGCATCTTCATCCACATCATTCATACGAACATTCCCCTAGGATGTTGTAGAAAAAATTAGGGCATGACAATATAAGAAACTAAAAAGACATAAAATTAAAATTAAAGGGTCAAACTTAAGTTTAATGGGCTTGTTGATCTTCTTGAACAAGATTTGAATTTGCAAAACAAAGAAGACAACTACTATACCCATGCATAATATGTGTTACGAATTATCATAATCCCTCCATTCTCTAGTTTGTGTCCACATTTTCTTAAATTAACACTGTATTTTTTTTTTTTTTTTTGAGTTAGCGGAGGACTAGTTTTGGAACTTTTTATCCATCTATATCATATAATAATTCTAAATGAGTTCCTTTTTAACTTATCATCTGTTCAATTTGGATTAGTTCATTAAATAGATGTTCCGTTGAAAAAGTAGTGCAAAGAACCTTCATGAGCTACATACATACAAAATGTTTATTTCTGTTCTTCTGAACTTCACTTACATTGTTTTCGATCTTATGTTTTGTTCTTGACTTAATTTTTGGCTTTTGCAGATTTCCCCAGTTTCGCTGTAGTCCTGCCCAACCGACGCTATCTAGAGCAGAGTTGCCAACCTAGGAAGTCATACAGTAGTAACTAGTTTTAGCTACTTTATTTAGTTGATTTGAATGATTTATCATTTCAGAATTGATATTAAGAATCAAAATCATATTAACCATTGTCTAAAATTATGTTAGTCCAAAATTATGTTTCTTACAGAATTTTACTCTTTGCTATATTCCGGTTGAATTTTTGGCATTTATAGGGCAGATGTTATTGGCTGCTTCTAGTAGTCATATACAGCAAGTGAGATTGGTGATGATGGATCTTAAAAACTTCATGGTGCATGTTTTATTTTAACTTTATATGTGTATATCATACTTTTACCATGATTCAAAAGACCACTACACTGGTATGAGTAAGAAATTAACACAAACAACAAACAACAAATAGCAAATACTTCTCCTCCATAACACAAATCAATCAACAAGAAGCCTCCACATACAATGATCCCATACTCCCATGCTTTTCAACAAATACAAGAAAGTAAATTGCCTCCACACGGGCCGATGATAAACAATAAAATTAAAATGCCTCCACATGGGCCGATGATTTAAAAATTGGTCACTTCAAGGCATGTGACCCCCTAATACACCACAAAGAGTTTAAAAATTGGTCACTTCAAGGCACGTGACCCCCTTTTTGCAAAATGGAAGCATAAAAACTTACAATCATCTCTGAAGCAGCAGCATCAATAGCTTTGCCATCCTTATTTATATGTGTGCAAATGAATAAATCTGCATGAGAAAACTGAATACCTTCGTCTTCCTCAATCTATAAAAGAAACATAGACATTGTGATATATATTATTATTTACCACTAACATTTATAATCATTCAACGACATAAGAACTGAAATAATTTATATTACTAAAACTTCAACTAACCTCGGCAGAAACACGTGCAAAGCTTTTTGTCCCTGTAGTATGCATCATTGTTTGCTTCCCATGGCGTTCATTGTTTTTTTTACTAACCTCCTACAAAAAGTGAGAAAAAGTAAACGTTCTAACATTCCACCTAAAATAATGACTGAAAGCAGGTAAACTATAAATTCAACTCATTGACTTTAAACAAAATTGGTAGATGGAGGATTACCTTCGCCATAGGCGTACCCCAATGCCTAACCAAAAATTCCCAATGCTCCTTTTCAACATTAGGTGGTGGGTTTACCAATCTTTCTGCATCTGTATCCCTAACTGAGAAATATTCACTTTTTAATTCACACTTGTACTCCCTCCATTTTTTTCCGATGAAGGATATTGTCCAATGTTTTGACATGATTCCCACATCATACTTTCCCTGAAAATGTGATAATTGCTGCATGTTAATCCACTTTTTCCATAAAAATTATTTTAATATCATTGAACGGTTTTACCTTTACAACGTTCCACATATCCTACTTCAGCCGTTTAGGCATCTCCCACCAAGTTTTTTAGCACAAAGGAGCTAAATTAGCATTCCGGGCAAGTGTTCCCAAATAATTAGTATATGTACCACTTCCAGGGCCGATCGGTTGTCCAAACTTATTAACCCTAAACAAAAATTAACAATTGTAGATGTTTAGTACAAAAATAAGGATAGAAATCCTTTTTTCTCCTTCATATTGAATATAGTCTAATTATGTAAACTATATAAGATGATCTCTATATATATGTACCTTAATGGTAATAAGGTTGTCGCGGTTACGACATTCTTGCATCATGTCGGGCCCCGTCTCTTCTTCGGCGGTGGTTGGGATGATTTTGAAGTTGAAGCTTCGGGATTTTGTTCACTCACTTTTTCCACTTCTCTAACCATTCGTTTCATTGTCAGCTTATTATTTATCCTTCCTGGAAAAGAAAACAAAAAAGTGAGAATTCATTTAAGAGAATGCAATCAAATTGTTTAAAAAAGGCAGTGCACAATCCAGGAAAAATCAATAAAAAGAAATAAAAAATACCTCAAAACTTTAGTGTATTTTTGGTTGTCCAATGGAAATTATATAAAACCATTCTGTTTAGGTAAAATCATTGATTGCACTTATACAATAATGTGCCAAGAATAGATCAAAACATATTAAAAATATATAAGCACACAAAAAAACTAAATCAGTTTTCATGGGAAGCGTACATGTGCATGCTACAAAATATGATACTGCAATATTATTGTCAAAGTTGTGTGTATATATATATATATATATATATATATATATATATATATATATTATATAGTGAATCAAAGCTTATAATATCCTAAAAAAAAATTTAAAATCCAAAAAAGACGTTTCACATCCATTGAGTAGTAGATATGGAATCATCCTAAATCTAATCTTCACCAAGGTCATCATCAAAATCATCTTCTTCTATAGTTGTTCCAAGCAAATCAGCTCTTGTCCAAAACATGTTATCATTAGGTACATCCAAGTCGTAATCCACATGTTGTGCATTAAATGGCTCCTGAACTTGATAAGATTCAATATCATGCTTTGGCATATCATAAAGGTCTCGCGGTTTTGCGCCAATAACCACTTTCCACTCATTGTCAATGGGATCATCAACATAGAATACTTGTTCAGCTTGAGATGCTAGAATGAAAGGCTTATCTGTTCCCAACGATCGTGACGAATTAACAAGCTTAAATCGAAAATCATCCTCCTTTATTCCTCGACCCTTGGACAAGACATCAAACCAATCACACTTAAACAATACCACCTTCCTATTTACATTGTAATTTAACTCAATGATATCAGTCAGCACACCATAGTACTGAATATCTCCTATGATGGGATTTTGATCAGTGGCTCTTGCATAACTAGATGTCACTGCCTTTATGACAACTCCACTGTTCTGAGTCTTTCTCCGTCTCTCAACATCTCTAACATGAAACTTCAAACCATTGATCACAAACTTCTTGAACCGTTTCGCGACAGGGTTTGGACCTTGTGCTACCCACCTCAGCTCATTAGGAATTGGATCCTCACTATCTCGCAACTGTATTCATAAAGATATAACTTATATAATAAGGTAATTTTTCATAAATCTATAATACACCAACAACACAAAAGTCAAAGACTTACACGTTCATTAAACAAAACACTATCACTATTACCTGAATTCAATTGAATTTCATAATAAACATTACATATTATAATATGTTACTGGGTAATAGTTGTCAAGGATGTATAAACCACATGAGAAATCAGAAGGCTTTTAATGGCATACTATATTTATTAACAATGGCACTACTAGAACAACTTTAAGGTGCCCTTTGGTAAAACTAAAAATTTCAAGGATGTATAAACCACATGAGAAATCAGAAGGCTTTTAATGGCATACTATATTTATTAACAATGGCACTACTAGAACAACTTTAAGGTGCCCTTTGGTAAAACTAAAAATTTCAAGCACTAAATTTTAAGAGTTGAATGTATTACTTTGAAAACCTATTTGATATTGTCTTAATTTTAACTTTTTAAGCGTTGAATTCATTAAGATTGTAGAATACAAAAGCTGAAATCTGAATGTTGTACCGATTAAATTTTTACCCTCAATATGCATATATGCAAAACAAAATATATTGTCTAAATATGGAGTAAGAAAATCTAGATTCATTTTTCTAGACAAATGACATGTCAAAATATGTGTACATTTATATCTAAAAAGGAGAAAATACTACATATTGTAATTCTAGATAATCAACTGCTACATGCAATAAATAAATTTTCTTTCTTCTACCAAGTGTTCTTGTTCTTCCATACAATTATTCACCTTCTATAAAATATCATACTATCTTCAATTGTTACCTACCATCTAAATTCCATAATCCACCAAACATTCTACCCATCCCACCTAAATTCCAACAACAATGATACTATCCAGCTTTTATAAAATATCCTACCATCTTCAAGTGTTATCTGCTATCTAAAGAGTTTCACTCTATCAACCAAACACTCTAACCAACATTATTTTATACTGTGTAGTATGTAGGTTTATTTTATTTATTTTTTACTTTTATTTTATACTGTGTAGTTGAGAAAGAGAGAATTATTTGTTGCAATGAAATTCTATTGTAATATTACTGAAGGTGTAAAATTCCATGCATATATATGTGTGTGTGTGTGTGTGTGTATATACACTTCAGTTCTGATATTTTTCAAAAACATCTAGGCAATTAAATATGATGATACATTTGAAGGTTATAAGTATCTATGGTAAAATGTATTTGGAGCTTTCAAGCTTTCACTGGAAAGTTCCTGTTTTGGGAGCACAATGGCTATGTGGTGGAGGCTAAATAGTATTATTCACGTTTTTTCATACTTGTCTTTAATTAGTGGGGGGAACGAGTATATGTTTCTTTCAGACTTTGTTTTGAAATTTAATGCACAAGCTGCCAACTTTGCCATGCCATTACCATACCTTTCAACCACCTTTCATTTAATTATCATTATTATTTATTTGTATCAAGTTAGTATTAGTTATTCACAAAAACAATATATATAAGAGTGGGAAAAGCTCATATGAAAAACTATCTGTAACATATATTGATTTCACCATAATTGGCACTAACTTTGGTCATAAAAACCATCTAATTCTAGCTAGTTAGATTTATGAAGTTTTTCAAAGGCGGTGTAAAAACACAAAAGTTCTATTTATTTTCATTTTCGTATTTGCTTGTTATTTTTAAAATTGACAAGCTAGAATAGGGATAAAAATGTAGGTTGAGCTCATATTCCAGATCCGAATCAGCGAATGTAACATTTAATATTATTGTAGTAAGACATTTTTTGAGTTACTTGTTTCCAAAACCTCTTAAGACAATTAAATGTCCTTCTTAATGATAACAACAAAGTCAATTATATCATTTAAATTACTATGCTAGTCAATTATAACATGGCCAATAACATTTTCCTAGCTACTTGCCACCCGCCTCAATCCCACCCACCCACACACACACATATAGACTCAGATGCATTCACCATGCTGCGGTTTTTTTTTTTTTTTTTTGGAAACACTATGCTGCGTTTGAAAGGTAACATGTATGCAACTTAAATTGAACAAACTTCACCAACACGAAAGGCTAAATTTATTAATTTAACAAAAAAAAAAAAAAGGCTAAATTTATTTATGATCCAAGGCTAAATTACCTAAAAAACGAAATCAGACTAATCAACGACAAAACTTGTTCCAACAATCCAAGCTACGATCGATTATTTCCTCCTGTACAAAGAAAAAAAAAATTGAAAACAACAATCTTAGGTACAGAATGAGATCAAATAGTGGTTACAAAATCATTGAAATTGGGAGGATGCATTGTTGCGTGAACTAAATTCCAAATCAAACCCACCTGATCTTGTTTACACTGTGATTTTTCGATCAATTGTGATTAAACTGAATTTGTGCATATAAGTTATTTAGTTACACGACACTTATAAACAACTTTTGTTTCATCAATAGAACTATAATTTTACGAGTACAACCTCTTTTGAGATCTCCTTGCTATGGACAATGACCCCAACCTAAATAATGGTAAGTTTGGTTTTTTCATCATTTTGACATTGAGAAAATTATTACACTGGAACACTATGCAATGATCATAGTTGCGCTCCTAAATTCTCCGGTCGCTAAGCTGTCAACAAATTTCATTCCTCATCAACTCGAAATTATGGTTTCATGATTCGTATAATACTTGATAAATAAATAGAAGTGCCTTTAAGCAATATTTGTTCTACATTTTTATGAATTTTATTCATACGCAATGATATAAATATAAGAATTCTCATTCTATAAATTGACATGGTATAATAATACTCAGTATTATAAAAATCTCAAATCAAACCCACCTGATCTTGTTTACTGCTTTGGCTGTTTCCGTATTCCCGGCTTGATGACGACACTTCTTCCCCTACGCACTCGAAGCCGAATTGCTTCAAAATCTACTTAGATGATGTCTAGAATAGGAATGGTTATGTTGGGAATAGGAAGACAGAGAGAGTGATGGTTCAAGCTTTCACTTGAAGAAGTTCGAATCGTTGACCGGTGATGGAAGGGCTAGACCGTGATGAGAGAACTGTGATGGAAGGCGAGAGAACGGCTGAGATGGGCGAGAGAACGGCGTGATGAGAGAGCTGTGATGGAAGGTGCGACCGGTGATGGAAGGGCGAGACCGTGATAAGAGAGCTGTGATGGGCGACAGAACGGCTGAGAGAGCTGGGATGAGAAGGCGTGATGAGAGAGCTGTGATGGAAGGCGCGACCGGTGATGAGAGAGCTGTGATGGAAGGCGCGACCGTTATGAGAAGGCGAGAGAACGGCTGATGGATTAGGGATATTGCAAAATGCGATTATGGATATTGCAAATTAAAATGGGAAAGTGGAGAATAGTATGTTAATTCCCCACAAAACGACGTAGTTTTAGGGCCCAAATATTCTATATATAAATGGAGGGAAAAAATGGAGGGGAGGGAAAAAAAAATGGAGGGAAGTGGTACTATTACACCTATACTAGCGCTTTTGAAAAAAATGTTGGTACGATGACACCTATACCAGCGCTTTTGAGAAAAGCACTGGTACGATTACACCTATACCAGTGCTCCTAAAGAGAGCGCTGGTACGATTACAGCTATACCAGCGCTCCTAGAAAAAAACGCTAGTACCTAATATGTTGTATTGATGGGGTGTCTAATTTGGAAATTCTCCATGATTGTGTTAAATTCTCCAAATCTGGAGAAATGTATCTCTCTTTGTTTGGAAACAATTTAAAATTTAAATTTGAATTTTCGCAACTGTCCTAAAGGTCTAGACCTTCAGGATTTTTCCACGTTTTATGGTGAACCCGTATTTGTTGTCTTTGATTTGTTAATAAAATTTTGACTATTTGACCAATCGAATAGTGATAAGCCATCACAAATTTTTGATGTCTAAAAAGGCAAATTACAACTATGATTAAATGAGCAACCAGCTACCAGCTAGCTAGCCACCGGAAAAGTAAAAAATATTGAGTAGTAGAATACCAAAGATAAATGAGGCACGCGGTGAAAAGATAATACAGTCACAAATCAAATGTTTCAAATCAGTCCTCCTTTGACGGAGATATGACGACCAACTCCTACCCACCAAGGTCTCATTTTTTTCAGTACTTTATTCAAAATTTCAAATTCTTGCAGTGAAAAGCTTTAGATCCCACTTGTCAAGACCTTGGTCAGCTTAATTTTTACGAGGTCCAATGCAGATATACTGATTGGACATGGGCCCTTATGTTTGTTTGTTGTGAATTTCATAAATTTAGAAATTCTACTTTCAAGTTTCACTTATTTAGAGCTATTTTGAAAGACCAAATACTTACATTTAGGAGCGCCAAATTGGCGTCTAGAAATTCGAACAAATTTATTTCAAGGTTTAGTAAAATTTCATTCAAATTCAAATTCAAACCGTCATTTTAGTGCCCCAAACGGTACAAGCCCAAAGTTCAATTCTCATTGTTTGAATTGAGATTTTCAATATCATGTCCAATCCTATTTGTAAATAACCGTTGTTGAAATCCATAGAAAAACATAATTAATTGCACTCTTAATTAAGATTTGCATGGTAGATAAATTGATTGATAAAGAACAACATGATATACTTGAAATTTACAATGGCAAGAACAATAAAATCTTTTCACTTTAATACCATCAATTCAAATGAAAGTGTTATCATAATGTTACATTTAGATGAATGGAGAATTGAAATCCAAACATTACTATATTAACTTTTCAATGTGTGATGGTAGTAGATTCAGTCACACTGTATTGCAACAATTGTTGCAAGCTACAGCTAGTAGATGGATGGTTCAAACCCTTCTGTTAAATGTGTTTTTTAGAATAACAAGTTAGGAACAAATCTATTCAATTTAAATGATCTTTAGTCCCCACCATCAAATAAATTCGAATTGGTGATGAAAAATTTGTATCGGTGAGATTCATTCTCATGCATGGGTGTGGCCTTAAAATTTTGGTACACATTTATTGATCACAGTAGATAGAGCATGGAGAGAGGTCAGGGTCCATAAGCAAATGATTGATGGGCCAGCAGCTAAGAAATCCTCATTTAGTAGTGCCACCCCTGATATGTACCCTTGTTTTGGGAGGGACTACAATTCAAAGTCTTGATTCTCCAAACTTTTTTTGAAAAATGACATTTGAGTCGATTTGTTAGACGCAAAATATTAGTCGAAAGGTTTTAATCTATCCTTATTTTTTAAGCTATCACTTCAAACGTGTTTTAAATCTAACTCATCAAACAAACTAGCATTGTTCAAATTTCTTTTGATTTTGTTGTATTGCATTAGTGACAGGTCAGCATGAACAAACTTGAGGGAACTCACTACCAAAATGGATCGAAGCGAGAACCAACTGTGCTTACACCAAAGAAATAAATAAATAAATAAAAACTATTCCTTTCTGGAAATTTTGAAACAAAGAAAAAGAAAAACATAGAAGATCTATTCAAAACTAAAAGCAATCGTGAATTGGTTTGATTATATTTTTTTGTGCAACTGTCAAAGATCTAGTTATATGCATTGTGCAAACTGAGGAGGAAACTTCTGTATAAGTAAGGTGATAGGCAAAAAGTATCATAGGTAATGAAAATAAGCGCAAATGAAATAAATAAATATACTCAAAAATAAACTAATTTCAATTTGGACCTAATGACAATTTTCTAACCTATAATAATATTACTAATCACAATTTTTTTTTTAATATTTATTTAGCAAGACAAGATTTTGGATTGTGTTTAAAGAGTTATGTGTGGGTTACTGGGCTGTATTAGGTTAGTTGGGTTGAATTTTAAAAGAACTCGATAACTGGATGTGTCACAAGGTTTATGCGGTAATTTCCAAAAACATGACAAAGAGTTCCAGGGTTTGAGCTAAATTTGGTAATTTCCAAATACATGACGGAGAGTTACAGGGTTTGAGCTAAATATGGTATTACTTTGGTATTGTTAAAACGAATGACTCAATCAAAAGCGTGATCACTTAAATTTTTTTCATAAATTCTATACTCTTCCAGAATATTCTTCTGCTTCAGTTTTGTTGTTAAAACAAATGACTCACTCAAAAAGTTATAATTTTTCATAAATTCGATACTTAATTTTCCAGAATATTCTTTACACTCCACAAATATATACAAAATATATATATATATTAAAAAAAATATTTTAGAAAATCTTCAATATTTTAGAATCTTTCAACTCTCTAACCTTTCACATTCTTTACAAAAATATGGAAAACTCTAAAATTGCAACGCCATGCAGCTACCACATCAGAACGTATAGCGTACCAAGCTCGTTAGTTGTAATAATTGAAGGACTTTGTTAAACACCTTTTTAACAATAATGTAAGAGACTGTAGAACTAACTCTCCACATTTCTTGGTAACAGATATAGATGATAATGGGTCTTCCTCCAATCAAGCAAAAATCATTCCAGCGCATTCCTTATTTCCTCCCTGATCTTAGGGTCACGTGAAACATTTGTGTAGAATTGATTAAGCCTTTTATCACTCCTATAGTTTAGCATATTTTTCAAATTCAAATTTATTGTAAAATTTCTATAGATAGTTTCATTGTAACTATGTATATATTCACAAAGCAGTGATAATACAAGTGTGCTTTTTTACTCTCTCAATACAACTTTATTCTCTTTATGGTATCAGAGCCAGATTCAAGTTTGTGTTTAGTGTACGGTCGCAACCAAGGATAACATAGACACCCAAAAATGCGTAATTTGTGATAATTGGGTGAGTCAACAAATAATGCTTCAAATGGTGATTTGAGGTGAAGAAGTGGAGTGGGAAGACGATTGATGAGGTAAGTGGCGGCTTGGAAAGCATGGGACCAAAAGGAGAGGGGTAAGGAAGCTTGGTGTAGTAGAGTCAAGCCAGTTTCAACAATGTGTTTGTGTCGATGTTCAGCCGAGCCATTATGTTGAGGTGTATGGGGTGGTGTGGTTAAATGAGTAATGCTATGTGAGGCAAAAAATGGTTTTAATTTTTGGTACTCACCCCCGCCATCAGAATAGACAGAGACAATGGAAGTGTGAAAAAAGAATTTCAACAATCGCTTTGAACTTGGAAAATACATTGAAAACATCAGACTTGTGATGAAGAGGATAAAACCATACATACTTTGTAAAATGATCCACAAAAATGATATAAAATCTGAATCCTTCCATTGAAGTTACTGGAGCAGGGCCCCAAACATCAGTGTAAATTAGATCAAGAGGACCACGACTATGGAGGGAGGACATACCAAATGGGAGCCTATGGCTCTTATTACATTTTCCTTGGTTAGTCATGCTCTTTCTACCCAATTTTCTGTCAAAGATTTGGGGCTTTACACTACTTTCTTGGGGTTGAGGTCATTCCTACTTCCACTGGTTTATTTCTCACCCAACACAAATACATTCGAGACCTCTTGGACCGCACTCACATGTATGGTGCAAAAGAGGTCAGCACACCTTTATCTACTACGGGCTCTCTTGTACTTTAGGATGGATCTTCACCTGCTAATCCAACTGAATTTTGTAGTGTCATTGGTGGTCTACAGTATCTATCCATTACAAGAGCAGACATTACCTATGCTGTCAACAAACTTTCACAATTCATGCAAAAGCCCTCTCAGATACATTGGACTGCTGCTAAAAGGCTTCTTCGTTACCTCAAAGGAACTATTTATCATGGTCTTTTTCTCAAATGTCATGTTACTCCTTTTTTGCATGCTTATTTTGATGCCGACTGGGCTGGAAATCGTGATGACCGTACCTCCACAACTGCCTACATTGTTTACCTTGGTGGTAATCTAATTTCATGGAGTTCAAGGAAGCAAAGATCGGTTGCTCGATCCTCTACTGAAGCTGAATACCGGGCTGTTGCTGCCACTACAGCAGAATTATCTTGGGTTCAGTCTTTTCTTAGTGAGCTTGGAGTCTCACTCACAAAACCTCCTATTATCTTCTGTGATAATGTTGGTGCAACATATCTTTGTGCTAATCCAGTTTTTCGGTCACGCATGAAACATATTGCTATTGACTATCATTTTGTACGTGACAAAGTCTCAAAAGGATTGCTTCAAGTATCTCATGTATCCACAACTGATCAACTTGCTGATGCTCTTATAAAGCCTCTTTCAAGGCAACGATTTTCATTCTTACGATCCAAGATTGGTATTTCTAATGGAAGCACCATCTTGCGGGGGCGTATAGATGATAATGGGTCTTCCTCCAATCAAGCAAAAATCATTCCAGCACATTCCTTAGTTCCTCCATGATCTTAGGGTCACGGTA